TCACAAGCGTTATGACAGTTGGTAACTGTAAAAAGATTTTAAATAGGGCCTAAAATTCTGTTATTCTACCTTAATATTCTCACTGGCAACTCAATGTTTACTGACTGATAATAATATTTATCGATATATAGTATTTAAGCTATATGTTATTGCATGATAAAAATTAAATCGAGTTGCCTATTGTATTTTCATCAGTCTGATCAGAATAAACATTTTTTTAATGAGATCTAAAAAACTGGCATCACCAACCTTGACCTTCAAAGTAAACAAAATTATAAATAAATAAATATAAGTTAACCTAAGCCAAATTAATAGGCTGAAAACTTGATCGTGTAAATAATTCTCCTAATTCATCACTCTAAATGACCGCTATCGTATGATGACAGGGAAAGTGATCATACTAACTGTAAATCAATGCGAGAATAACAAAGAATTCATTATCCAATAAAAAGTGAGGTTAGAAAAAGTTAGAAGATTATATTTTTCAAGTGAATCTCTACTCTTGTTTTAGGTTATTTATTAAAAACTTATTTATTAGAAAAACCAATCCGGAAATCATTGTTACATTGTTTCTCTATAAAATTATAATTAATTAGCATTTTACACAAAGTTTTACTTCATCAATAAAACCTGATCTGATCTCTCTTGGTCTTCTCACGTTTTATTGTTATCGAAGAAGGTTTTCCGTCTGACTTACTACATAAAAAGATTGCATGCTCTTGGGATTACTCGTCATTTGCTCTTACAATTTGTCAATTCTTGCATATTACCTATTATTCTTTACTGTTCTCCATTATTTTTTCCTGTGCTTTTGCTAAAAGACTTTGCTGTATTGCGGAGAGTGCTGAAGGTAGTTGGCAAGATGTATGGTGAATCTTTCGAGGTCATAATTAATATGGTTGTGGATAGACATTTAAAATCATGCAAACTCCTGGCAGGTGTTATTTTATCAGATACTAGCCATCCCCTTCACTCATATCTTTCTCCTTGTATATCTTCTGGTAGAACGAGACGAAATTACATTTAAATTCATGCACGCATGCAAAAGTATAAAAGTTCTATAATACCTTACCTAGCAAACATACTCTGTGACGAACAAGTTGTTAGAGTTAACCTAGTCAATAACTTGCATTCTTAACATGTTTCTAATTCGAAAAGTTGCAAAGTTCTTCAGATTATTTTTAAATTTGTTTCTTCGTTTCTGTTTTTTTTGTAAAAGAAACTTGTTGAAATTCCTTGTGCTGAAAATTCCATATTGTACCAAAATATAAAATAAAGATATAATCTTGATTTCATTTTCTATTTCCCATGAGCATGAAAAGATCATAAATTTGATTTAAAACACAATATGTAAACGAAAATTGAATAATAAACATAGATCCTTAGTAAATTATAAAGATAGAAGTATCGTTTTCATAGCTGTTTTACATGATATGTATTTTTAGTGTACACTTAAATAGGTGATTTTTGTGTCCATTTTCATAAGCTTTTAATAGTTGAATTCATGAGTCGATGTAAGATAGAACACTGCTGGATTCCCGCCGGTTCAGTGGTCTAGAGGTTAAGCGTTCTCGTACGAGACTGAAGGTCCTGGATTCAAGTCTTGTGTGCAAGATCGTGGATGCGCACTTCTGAAGAGTCCCGTACTAGGATGAAACAGTCGTCCACTGCTTCCAGGTTTTAAATGGTGGTCTAGCTTTAATCGACTCAGGAATTCAAATATTAAATTACTACAATCTTCAAAAAAATCCCATTCTAATATCTTTATAAATACCGAGATTATTTTACAATATCAACCATTTGTACTTACAAAAACATCACTTTCAGAAAACGAGTACATCTAAAGTAGGTATTATTGTTAGTTTATTATATCATTTAATGTATATGAGTGCATGTTAGAACATGGAATGTGCCATCTGATAAATGAAATTTTATTTATATTATAATGAACTCTTGATGAGTCATATTTACGTGTCATTAACAGTAGTTGTCTGATATTAAAGTTTCTAAAACTTGTCGATGAACTGCCACACCTTAATTCACCATTTAGGATAATTCAATTTAGATTGCAATCATTTTGATTAGAAAATTGCACGAATGAAAAGTACTTTACTATGAAATACACTTCGTTATTATTTTGATGAGAAGTATCTAATTTGCCTATCTAATATAATACGTGACAGGAAACTGATAAGTGGTACATGAACCATTATTGATAGAATCAACGCATAGTTAATCTATTTATGTGTCACCATCCAACTAAGAAGTAAATTTAGTAGTTTTATCGAGTGGTTTCACCAAAAAATCTGCATATTTTTCGCAATGAAGTGATATCGGCTGGATCATTTTATTTTAAACCAATTGCTCAGTATTCTGTGATTGTAGCTGAGCATTACTAAACGTCATGATGGACTCAACTCATCACTCAGCTTTGTTTTAGTTCACTCGGATGGTTCGCTTGAAACAATTCAGAAATGTCATCCCAGTTTGCTAAAAACAATACTAGTTGTTAGTCGACGTTCTTGATGATGTTTTTGTAACTCCGAGATCGTTTCCAAGGTGATGATTTACACTTTGCTAATTACCGGTTCCTGAAAGGTTTTCCCTCATGAATGTTACATTTAGAATCCCTTAGTGAGAAGGTAAGATGTGAAGAATTGGATTCATATGATGGTAGGTAGGCCTTAAATATTTCAAATCAAAGGGCTGATTAACTTCGAAAGTATTTGTAAGCACACATACAACTGAGACACCTAACATGCTGACAGTTTTACCAAACATTTTATTGAGTCTTCGACGTATTGATGGAGTTACGCTATTGCATCGAGGGAAAAAAAACATATAATCGGTATAACATCGGAAACGTCTAAATCTCACGTAGTTCTTTTATTTATTTATTTATTTGAACACATAAATATTGGTACAAAGGGGCACCAAATACTTATGCGTCACATAAATCATTCGATTTGTGTGAGGGCTGGGATACTGTCTGGGTGCCCAGACTGAAGCTGATGATTTTCTTAGGAGGCCAAAGCCGGGGCTTTTGACCTAAAGGTCTGATCCACAAGGCAGTGGAGCAACGTCAGGAGATAGAGTCCCATGGTAGCCGGTGACCAACGATTGGTTTATACGCCATTTGTTCCTTCAGGACCCTGAAGCCGGTGTGCACCATTGGTTTGGAATTACGGTATTCCGACTCTCTTAAGCGGATCCTCTATATCCAACAATCCTGTTAAAGCGCCGGACATTCGCTTTTCGTCCTCTCGTCACGAGAATGCAGTGAGTAGGACTTCCCTGACAGTTGTTGTATGCACGTGGCCGTGTGAGAGTATTTCGAGAAGGAGAGCTGACCCTTCTCACCCTCGGTCGTACCAGAGCATTTGAGGACACGTAGCTCATTAGTTAGTGGTTTTTCCAGAATTTTGTTAGAATAACATTTGTATACTATTAGAGAAGTAAAAAGTCTTGTTTAAGAAAGTAAACGTATATCAAGTGAAGTGGTATACTTAGTTTAATTAAATAATAATGGAAGATATTCACTATCTATAGGTTTATCTATGGCACGAAACAAAAAAAATTATTCAGTCTATCAGAAAAACAAGTATTTTTACCATCCATGCATATCAGAAAAACAATGAATTATACTGGAACAAAGCAAATGAAATTATCGTTCTTTAGGAGTACAAAAAAACTGTGGTAGATTTTTTAAGCCACTTTAAATTTGACTTGATACCAGTGAAGTTAATAATTATGTATAATTTTTCTTACAAATGTCCTATACATTAAAATATAGGGTTAAAAACTATTGTTTCACTGTAAGAAAATATTATTCAATCATTACCTAAGAAGAATTTATTGATAGCCTATAGTTATAATCCATTTTAATGTAGATAAATAATTAATGATTTTCAGAATGGGTTTTGTGGAGATTTTTAGAAATTTCACAGGTTGAAATCATGAGTCAATTGGAGCTAGACCACCATAGAAAACCTGGAAGCACTGGACGTGGATCCGCCCTACCCCCGCGGGATCGTGGATGCGCACTGCTGAGGAGTCCCATACTAAGACGAAACGGCCTTCCAGTGCTTCCAGGTTTTCCATAGTGGTCTAGCTTCAATTGACTCATGATTTCAACCTGTGAAATTAATGATTTATCACTAATGATAAATTTAATTACACTGTCAATTATTTTATATTCAATTATTGTTCATGAGACCTTTCCTGTAATCGGATGAAAAATGTTTACCTATACAATTTAGTGATGAACCAATATCTACACAGTAAAGATCCATTATATACTTAAGTGATATATTCTTCTTTGCTGAATCATAAATCATCAAGTTCGTGTAGATTAAACAATTTAAATCAAATTTATTCTTCGTAATTATACTTATATCTAGGAAATGGTATTTACATAGTGGTCTGAAAAAAATAAAATAGTCGTGATCGATGGAATATACTATATACGAATAGTTTCCATTATTTGAAGTAAACAAACTGACTGTTGTAATATTTCAGCTTGATAAATTCTTAATTATTCGTCTTATATTTCTATGAATTTAATAAATTATTTTCCGTAAAGTATTAAATTCTAATCATCTGAAATATTCAGCAAATTTGCAATAAATTCCTTGAAGAGCATATTCGAGACTAACATAAATTTTTGCATAAAGTGGCCTGGTTTACTTTTTTACTAAGAAGAAGGAATGTACCGTTCATTCATTATTAAATGTATTTTTTTATCCATAATAAACTATTAAAATGCCAGTAGAACTAAAGAATTCGAATGAAATCCGTCTGAAAAAGTGACTTTGGATCAACAATCCAAATGGCATATATGTGGAACCTTATTTTCCTTTGTAAGAATGTGGTTAGTTTTGGTTAGTGTGGATCGTAATGACATACGACTTAGATTACTTTATTGGCTCTCTGATTGGTTAATTTAATTCACCAATCAAATTTGACTTATTAATATAATGTTCAGTCGGTACTTTATTAATACACATGAATGTGGATGAAAAGAAAATAGATTTATCATTAGAAACTAGTTAGCTGATTGCGATGTAATTCAGCGACTAGCTGTAGATTAAGCACAATTATTTTTTTATATGCGCAACTGTGATCCTGACGTATTAGCAGAGTAAACCCATACAGGAAAAAATGATTCATCAAGCAAACTAATCCTAGAATCGTTTTTATAAACTTACACATTAATTAACGGATATTATTACAAATAATGTTACGATCAAGAAAGTCTGCGCCTGTCCAGTCTACCAACACCAAAGAAGAACTAGCAACTGGTGGTTTGTCATCTGTAGACATTGGCTGGGTGGGACCCATAACGTAAGTTATATTTATACTAAGTTTGTAGTATATATGTAATAATCTGTTTCACGAAGTTATGTGGTTGACAACATTTTTATGAACTCCTGGTGGTTGATTTATCATACTTTATAGTAATATGAATAGTCTCAAATATCGTAATGCATCGCATTGAATTTACTCTCATTCCAATTTATGTAAAGACTATATACTCAGCAAAATTACTCACATTGTTTAAATGATCTAATGTCCGATCTACGTAACTTCGTAAATGTGAGAGCCGAAGATGGTTTTGATACCACCAGACAATAAATTCAAAACTAGTGAGCATTGGAGACCCATTTCATCCTATTGTGGAAAACCTCCTCATTCTCTATTACATGTGGAGATGGAACCTAAAATCTGCATAGATCTCACAGTGCCTATCAACTTATAGACAGTGAGTTCGAATTGTCCATGTCGATCATGACATCGTAGATCATGGGTATGTGTTGCTAAAGTCCTCACTGATTAGCTTATATAAACCTTACAACCAATCATATGAGCTGCATAGAAGTCAGCAGAATGGAATAGGGAAGCAATGAGGATGGAATACTACAATGAAAATCAATAATTCAGCCTTGTTATTTCGATGATGCTGTTTAGACGTGACTCATTGAATATAAATATGCATTTGACAAAGCATTAATCATTTGTTTTGTTAATCTAGCTTATGTGAAATTCTTTCTACATAATGAGATATTGTAGGTAGATAGAGAAGACGGTTATGATGACAGTCTAAACAGGGGATTACATGCTAACAAAGTAGAACATGTTTCGGTTTCTCTTTTGCATATGTATATGTGCATATATACATTTGTCATTTCTTAATAGAGATAATGCATTGGATAGTTTTTACCCAATACAACAGAATCGCAAATCTAGTTTCTGTAATAATAAAGAAAATAAATTCAGATAAAGGTGCTCAAATTATCAATTGGAAGTGTATTAGTGACTTTATACTCAAGGCTTCTTTATTTAATTGGTGAAACGTTACCTAGGACTGTACTTTTCATTTGTTAATTATTTTTAATACTAATAGTTATTATTCAACTGGACTGTGAAAAAAATCACTCAGAGACTATTATAATAAAAATAAAAGCAGAACTAACTATAAGCCAATGGAGATCATGCTATAATTTTCATTCACTTTCTTCATGTAATTAAGAGTAAATTATTTAAGTGAAAGAATCTTTTCTGGTTTTATTTTTCTAGACTGAACTGCTTCTCATATATTTTGGTGCTCACTTATCCCCATACATGTATTATTTAGCTTAGGATCAAAAGAGTTTTCCATATAGTTCAGTTCACATCTGAAATATTACCTTATCGATTTTTGTTGTCCTTAATTAAATCGATAATTTTTGAGAGGCTTATGTGTTATGAAATGACTATTATTATAATTGCATAACCCTAGAATTTATTTGAATTTACTATCTATGTAATCAACTCTCTGGATCATTGCTTCTGTAAAAATTAATTTTATATGGTTCTAGAAATAAAATAAGTTTTCATTTTACAAGGAAACCAAATCATATATTATAAGAATTCTTTTGAAAATTAATTTGTAAAGCATCTTATCCGTAAATTGATGACCATATGGATGATAAAGAAGTTTCAGTGGCCCGAAATCTGACTCCAATTAGATCGTATGAATGTTCGTTATTGAATGATTGCTGTCGAAATATATGTGTCACCTATTCTCGTATATTTCATCGACTTAAATCGCCTTAGTCAATAAAAGAATTAAATAAACCAAATACGAGAATGAATTTCGAATACGTATAGTTCATACAATCTTTGATCTAGACAAAATATCGGAGAAGCGAAGAGAAGAGAGCAAAACCAAATGACGCGCGGTGGAGTTGGCTCATATGCTTTGCTCTCTTCTCTTCGCTTCTCCGATATTTTGTCTAGATCAAAGACTGTATGAAATATACGTATTTGAAATTCATTCTCGTATTTGGTTTATTTAATTCTTTTATTGACTAAGGCGATTTAAGTCGATGAAATATACGAGAATAGGTGACACATATATTTTGACAGCAATCATTCAATAACTAACATTCATACGATCTAATTGGAGTCAGATCTCGGGCCACTAAAAAGTAAGTGAATCCATTTCACTTCGCAGTATCTACTGAAATTACTATAAGAAACTTTAACAAGTAAACTAATTCTGAAACAAAAGTATCTCTAGTAATTTGAATGATTCAAGATTGATTATCATGATTAATTATGTACAACAATGAAGTGATTAGTGAATATACTTTAATGGTTGAGATCATGAATCAATTGAAGCTACACCACCATGGAATACCTGGAAGCACTGGACGGCCGTTCCGTTCTATTGTGGGACTCCTCAGCAGTGCGCAACCACGACTCCGCCTCGCGAAATTCGAACCCACTACCTATCAGTCTAGCACGCGAGCGCTTAACCACTAGATCACTGAGCCGACCGGCATCCAACGGTGTTAATGTCTAACTCCAACGAATACATATACTTTACACAATTTTTGATATTCATTTTATTTATTGATTATCAAGGTAGATGTTTTTCGATGTATGTGATTTTTTTTTTGACAAAAAGTTTACAATGTCTGTTTTTCAGTATTCATTTATGAAGTGAATATGCTTTAGCTGACTAGTGAGGAAAGTAATTTTCTTAATAAATGATAAACAAATAAAAAAACCATTGGTAGTTAGACATATGTTGCTTTATGTCAATAGTACTATCGATTTTGTTAACAAGCCATTAACAATATTGTCATCAATTTGTTCGTGTAAATTAATGCAATATATATGTGTGTATATAGTATGTGTTCCACAAACTTTAGTGAGATGATAGTTTGTTTTATATGTCAATTATGAGAGACATTCGGACAATTGTTCAATCTAGGTCATATTAAATTAAATCCCTATATATATATATATACTTGTACATCTATGTATGCATATGTAAAAGAGAAACCGAAACATGTTCTACTTTGTTAGCATGTAATCCCCTGTTTAGACTGTCATCATAACCGTCTTCTCTATCTACCTACAATATCTCATTATGTAGAAAGAATTTCACATAAGCTAGATTAACAAAACAAATGATTAATGCTTTGTCAAATGCATATTTATATTCAATGAGTCACGTCTAAACAGCATCATCGAAATAACAAGGCTGAATTATTGATTTTCATTGTAGTATTCCATCCTCATTGCTTCCCTATTCCATTCTGCTGACTTCTATGCAGCTCATATGATTGGTTGTAAGGTTTATATAAGCTAATCAGTGAGGACTTTAGCAACACATACCCATGATCTACGATGTCATGATCGACATGGACAATTCGAACTCACTGTCTATAAGTTGATAGGCACTGTGAGATCTATGCAGATTTTAGGTTCCATCTCCACATGTAATAGAGAATGAGGAGGTTTTCCACAATAGGATGAAATGGGTCTCCAATGCTCACTAGTTTTGAATTTATTGTCTGGTGGTATCAAAACCATCTTCGGCTCTCACATTTACGAAGTTACGTAGATCGGACATTAGATCATTTAAACAATGTGAGTAATTTTGCTGAGTATATAGTCTTTACATAAATTGGAATGAGAGTAAATTCAATGCGATGCATTACGATATTTGAGACTATTCATATTACTATAAAGTATGATAAATCAACTACCAGGATTTGTGATATAGATTAGCTTTTGAAGATTATTTAAATCGAATTGTTACTAGTTCGAGAATAATTGGGAACTCTTCCTACATCCTGACTCCTAAGTATTGGCTAATTACAAAAAGTTTGAACTTTTAAGCAGATGACCGACATTATTTACTATTTTCAAGATGTGTATCTGAGGGAAGAAAATATAGGTACAATATATAAATATTCAACTACCGACTTTCTTCAACAAGTTTTTATAAAATTAAGTCATATGGTATCATGCAAGTGATGAGTGCATAGCTTATTTGAGAGACATATTCCACAGAAATTCATGTTAACTTGCCATTATTTTCATGTTTACTGCTTCTAATAATAAAACTGTTGAGATTATTAAATTTCATTGAAATCACAAACCAATCTAAGTTAGACAACCATTGAAAATCTGGAAGCATTGAACGGTCGTTTTGATCTAGTACGAGACTCCTTAGCAATAGGCACTCACAAACCCAAAACCTAAAATCGAACCCTGGACCTCTAAGCTCACGCACAAACGTCCAACGTTTATACCACTGAGCCACAATCAGATGGTATACAATATCAAAATTAAAGGAACCGATTACCAAAAATATGCTAGGTCGAAATAAGAAACTAAACTTGCTATTCAATTCATTACTTTACCTATGAATAGTTGTTAACTATTGATAATAGAATTTAACTATTTACTTTATAATTGTTATAGAGGATATATCATTACTAATAATCATTCATCATCACATAATTTTCATTAAAAATGCTATGTCATTAACTCTTTACATTATTAGGTTGAAATAGTAATAAGGTATTCAGTTAAACTGTAAATATTCCAACTACAAATGATAGTGTGATGTTTGTTACTGATGTCGATAGAAATAAGTAGTATATATCATCAATCAAAAGTCAAATACCTGACAGCAGAAGGTTAAGAAGATCAAATAAAAGGGAACGAGAACAAAGAATGATTGGTGTGGAGACGAAAGAACAATGAAGTCTGAGACGATTGGTTGACATTTTGCAAATTATGTATTTACTGTATGGGTCTCAGATTTTACTAATTTGTTCTGTAATTTGGTGTTCAACTACATTCAGTTGTCCCCACTTTTGTTCTCGTTCGCTACAATAGTATTTATTTATTGAAAATAAGATATTTTTTTTAAGTAATGTGAATTATTAGTGATAGTTTGTGGGCTTTTTCTTACTGAGTGTAAAATACCAGTTTATCATAAATTCCATACATTTACCATGAAACAAAGGTCACCGATCAGATTTTTAGACGTTTTTAAA